GGACCGGGACTGCTCGTGCCCTGCCCCGTCCCCCCGCCGCGGGGCCGCATTCAGTGCAGTTTTGTTCCCCACCCGCCCCCTCTTTTATTAATGTGCCTGGTAGTTCTTGCAGCTTTGACGGTTTCCTGTCGAAATAGACAGCGGTAACTGGTAGGGTCACGGGAGTCATGTCAGGAGCAGCCCCAGAGGAGCCTCAGACCCCCGTTCCTCAAGGCACAGCGGGTGCTCCCGGGCCTCCCGGGCCTGCTCCGGTTGCTGGCGGACCTGGAAGCGCGGGTGACGTGTCCTTCGGTGAGCAAAACCTTGGCTTCGCCGCCGCAGACGTCAGCCTGGCGGAGATGATGGAGACCGAGTACACCCAGCTGCAGCACATGCTGTACTCGCAGACGGAGGCACAAGCCAGCGAAGGTGAAGCGGAAGCTAGGCTCAATGCTTTCTCCTCGCCCGGTCGTTCCGCAGACTCCCCTCCGCACCAGACCTCGCAGAACACCGGTCGAGACGGCTGTTCACCCAACAGCTCTGAGAACCAGTCAATTTACCCTGTTACCCGTCGGTCAGGATTACCTTCTGACAGCAGTGTGCCGAGTTCCAACCCCCCTGTGGGCTATGCTGACTTCCAGGATCTCAGAATGATGTTACTTAGCGAGAATAACCTCCTTGCGAACCAAGCAGCTAAAACGCCCAACGATAGCTCTGTCCCAGGACAACGTTCAGGAAAAGTTAAACACGTTGAAAATTTTGTCGGGGCAAGTAAAGGAAACATTCCTGTTGAAAATTCGGCACTGGCACCAGACCCTAGGTCTAAATCTGCAGTCAGAGTTCGGCTGGAAGACAGATTCAGCAGCGTCCAGACCGAAAACCCCCGATGCCAAGAACCCCAAGAATCTGGAGTAACTCTTAACAAGTGTGTTGCAATTAATTTTAGTGTATGTTGTTTAAGTTGCCTCATGCAGTTCAGAACCGAGTTTCCACCTGAAACCTATGAACAGCCCTTTTTTGCAGACATGAGAATGATGGGTTGCGCTTTTTTAAGCTGTGCCAGGCTAAACGTGGCTGCGGCCCCACCGAGCTCAGGTTAGGCCCCTCTGTACGGAACGCAGTGCTGCTGTTAATTAGCTCACAGCTTTATTCTTGCTAACGAGGTGTAACGTAAGCAGAGAGAAGAGTTTCCGTGTTTAAGGTGCAGCTTGCCGAAAGCGGAGTAGATTCGCGGTCGCAGTAGAATACCCAGAGCAGGAGATGGGTTATGGTGCGGGTGCCTGACTGGGGAGGTCATCCAGCAAAAATGCTGTGCAGTCTGCCCCTCTAGCTGCCGTCGTTGCTGGTAAAGCGTTTGGGGCCGTAAAGCTGGATTGCTACCGCACAGGATAAATTACCTTCTCAGCTCATTTTTTTTTTCCCCTTGTCCCTGAAGTAGGCAATATGGCAATAACTGTGATTTCTGCTTAGAGTAAATGGAGGTGATTTCTTGGTGGTAGTTACTAGAATTATGTGTCGCTGTCAGTTTTTCTGCATTTGTTTTCAAGTAGTCAGCCTGATGCATTTTCTTTTTGTTATATTTCTATTTGTTATATTTTATTACATTTTATTTTCCTTTTTTTTTTTGGTTGTTGTTTTTATTTTTAAAGTTCAGTAACGTTGATTCGGCAGCCGTCAGACCTGGTAGGTGTCCCTCCTCATCAGCAAGAAAACAAGTGTGCTGCCTTAGGGAAAAGTAAGACTGCGCCTGCCGCGCCTTCTTTACCGTTCACATACCCGTTATTCGCTATGAACGTCTGTCCCGCTGCTGGAAGTGCTAATCCATCGCAGGCACAGGTAGATAACTGGTGTACTCCGCTCTTTTTTTTTTCCACGTGCTGATCAAGTTAACCTCTGGGGTGTAACATCCCGCTGAAGGTTTGTGTGAGGTGTGACTTGCTTTGAATTGTGACGATCAGAATGATGCGATGTGTTTATTCTTATGTTCATCTTTAAGACCATCGGTTTGTCCCGCAGACCAATTGCCTGGCAGTTACTTTGTGACCAAGTGCATCCAGGTAATGATCGTTAGGGAATGGCCGTGAGATTTCTAACTAGAGGATTTTGAACTGATTTTATCAGTGTACCTTCTTCACCTAGGCAAGACAAGGAGGAGACACTCAGTACCATTTTCTATGGTTCCTGTTTTTTTCTAATTAATTTTGATGGAAAAATGGGTTTTTTTCCCCCCCCAACTCGCAGTAACCTCTGAAACAAGAATGATAGCATGGCACCCGGAAATGCCAGAAGCGTCCCCAAAAGACATATCAGTCTGTCAAAATCCCGTGGCTGTGTGCAGAAGTAACTGGGTTTTATTCTGATACAACACCCTGAATCACAGGGCTAAGATGCAAGTTAACACAAAGATATCAAAATAGTCTGTTTTTTTATATATAGTTCTCTGAGTATTTCCTTTTTGGTTTTCACAGACCTCTGGAACATCCCGCACTGGTTTGGAAGCTGCCAGACATCAAGACCTTGGGATACCCAAGGCATTCTCTTTCTGCTATCAGGATATGGAATCCTCCAAGCAGACAGTAGGTGCTATGAATAAAGCTTTGCCTGAGGAAGTTTGGATTAAAATTGGAGGTAAACCATTTACTTTTTTTTTTTTCCACCCTCCCCCACTTGGCTTTTTCTTGGCCTTCAAATCTACAACTTCTTCTAGATTTGTTTAGTTTTTAGGATGCATATGATTTGATGAATCAGACGAGGTGTGGGCTTTGTGGCCGAGAAGGGCCATAGGCAAGATGGGACTAGATTTCTCAAAAAAAAAAAAAAAAACACCTATGATTTTAGCTGTACTTCCAAATTGTTTAGCACTTGTAGCTTGAAATTGTAGCACTTTGAGGATCCTGGTCTAGTGGAAGGTGTCCCTGCCCACAGCAGGGGTGTTGGAACTAGATGATCTTTAAGGTCCCTTCCAACCCAAACCTATGGTTCTGTGAAACGAGAAAACCCAAGGTAGCAACTACCTTTGAGACTGTGGGCTTTGAGTGAGCAACTGATTTCTTTCTGCACTTCTGGCCCCCAAAGTTGATGTGGCAGACCCAGCCAGCACGAAGCTGCAGAACGTTTTAACGGACTGCTTGAAATGCTGATCCAAGTGGGTGTGACCTCAGCGGGTTCTCTGAGGAAACAGAAGCTGGGAGGATGCTCAAAGAGCCAGCAGTGCCTTAGGGCTTCCGAAGGCCAAGCGCTGCTGTAAGTCAGTCTGGGTCAGCAATAAAGCTTCAAAGAATATTCCACATAAAGTGGAAAATTATTTCCATGATCTTAATTTCCATTGATCAGTGGGAGGGTTAGAAACAGGTTCTTCTTTTCCTCTCTGTTTATCCAAGAAGATTCCTTATGCAAGCAAGTGATAACCAAAAGGAGTTGCAGCCAGCTGAGCTCGATGGATACCAGCATAGACCGCAAACCTCTTGGGGAAATCCAAAACTTGCCTGACGACAGCCGGAGTTCCGCCTCTGCCCAGGGAGCTTGGCAGCCCAGGTCAGGTCTGCAGGGGCAAAGCGATCTGCAGGACGGCGTCTCGCAGCGAAGAGAGAGACATAACCGCATGGAGAGAGACCGACGGTAATTGCTGTTAAAGGCTGCCAAGACAAGGTTTTTGAAGCCTAAAAATACTGGTGCTGTAAGACTCCTGTCATTGCCCACGGTCACACGTAAATCTGATGTATTTTGGTTTACCTACAAGAAAAAGCAATGCAGGTGGTGAGGGTTTGGTGTTTGTTAGAGGAAAAAACATGTATGTTTCGTCCTGGTTGTATTTGTTGGTTATTTTACTCTCTAAACAAACAAAAAGAGAGATTTCAAAACATGTAAGCAGTTCTGTAAAGACAAGGTGACGTGTGGAACACGACTAACACACAAATAGGGTGAAAGAAGCCCCCGAAGTCCTACCCTTGTACCGCCCGTTAGCACCTTCCTTCCTTCCTCCCTGGCCGTGGGTTGATGACCCTTTGTGTTTGGTGACCCTTTGTGTTGGGTGACCCTTTGTGTTCGCCTGTAGGCGCCGGATCCGCATCTGTTGCGATGAGCTGAACCTCCTGGTGCCGTTCTGTACGGTTGACACCGACAAGGCAACGACCCTGCAGTGGACAACGGCCTTTCTGAAGTACATTCGGGAGAGGCACGGCGACTCGCTGAAACAGGTGTTGAATCTCATTTCTTTTCGTATTCTTGATAAAAACGGGAAGGGTTTTAACGCCGTGGTAACAGCTCGAAGCGCAGGGGCTGCTGCTTGATGCGGTTGGTGAGGGACCGCTCCCTCACTGAACCTTCCTTCCCATCTTTGGCGTTCAGGTTTTATTCTAGCGGGTTCAGTTCGGCCATGGGAAGTCACAGGCTGTGCTCAGGCAGGGCTCTCAAATCAGACCTTAATTTATTTAATTAGTCTTTATAGTTAGCCCAATTCCTGAGCATGATACTGTCGACAATGATGTAGAATCCGGAGCCTCTTCAGTCATCCCTCCTGCCCCCAATGTTTCAGTGTGTTGTCCCTCCGGTTAGTTCTCATGAAGCAGTGGCGAAGTGGTGGGGTGCGCAGCTGCCTCCCACGCCGTCTCGGGGTGGGTGGGAGTGGGGGAGGCTCCTGTGCCCCGCGAGCAGCTCCCACGCCAGGCTCTGCTGAGCACCGAGGAGCGTGGGTGGGGTGCGTAGAGGCAAACCTGCTTGTCAGGCTGCTGTGGCTGACTCAAGGAAGTATCTACGTTAAACACAATTTAGTTATTTTCTCCTATTTTGATTTTTTAGGAATTTGAGACTGTGTTCTGTGGCAAAACAGGCAAAAGGCTAAAAATAGCAAGATCAGACTCATTTGTAGCGTGCCCGGCACAGGAAAACGTGCATGGCTATGGAGACCAAGTAGTCTGAACCGACCGCCTTGAAGTGCACGACACGTGTGGCTCGCTCACGCTGTCCCAAACTCTGCTTTGTTTTTTCTGTTTACATGCTGAATAGGAATTGCAAAACATAACTTGTAAAAATACGTAAGTAGAGCTTTAAAGAAAACAGTCTTTATTCAAAATGGAAATTGATGGCAACTGCCACCAACAGTGCTCTGGTAAGGGGCTTTGGGACCAGAAGTTACAAGAAAATGCCATGACAGCTATTTTTTAGTTATAAAAAATGTTCTTTTCTCTTTGTGGTTCTGATTTAGGATTTTTCTGTCGTATGGGGTTTTTTTTGTTTGTTTTAAAGATGATCCAGCAGAGTTAGGACTGGCTGTAGAGCATCAAGCTGCCCTGTTTGTTTTAGTGACTGGACGCAGATGTACTCTCCACGTGTAAAAAGAATTTAAAATCTCCATATTACAAAGCCTATATTTCCCATTAAAAATGTAGAGACCACTGGTTAAGCGAGACGAGTCATTGTTTCTAAGCCGTGCTGGTAGCGGGAAGCTCACGTTTGCCGTGCATACTTCAACATACTCGGCCCTGAGGAGAAAGGCAGCGGCGTCGGCATTTTTTTTAAACACAGGACCGTTGTCGACATCCGCCGCGCCCCTGGCCAGCTGTTTCTCCTACTGTTGCTTTAGGCCAGGGGTGGCATGCTGTAAGCAGGGGATTATTTAAAGGAGTTTCTGCATTTAAGGATGGATCTGACCGTTCATCGGCTTTAGCAGAGGGCAGACCCAGACCAGCGCGTGAGCTGAGAGTGGTGGTATGAATTTTTTTAGGCAGATGACGCTAGCAGGTTTTAAAGTACAAAAGAAGGTCTCACAGAACGCAGACGGTTTTAAATCACGGGGTACGGACAATTTCGCAGCCATTTATTTCCAAACAATTCTAGTAAAACCATTTCTGGAAAAGCGGAGTTCAGCTGAGTATAACGACACCGACAACATCACAAAGACAAGGCTAAAAAAAAAAATCTCCTTTTATTTCCACAACAGTTCACACAGGTGGTTTCGGCTGGGCTGGAGAAGAGCATCCTTTCTGGGCTGGCGTTTCACTCACCCTGACCGTGCAAATAGCTTAAGTGGAGGTCGCGAGAATGCTGTTTGTTTCCTTTATCATCCCGTGGAAAGGCACAAAAACCCTCCCCTGTAAATCAGAACACGCACATTTCACCTTTCGCCGAGTTTGGCTGCGG